CCGGATTAACTCATGGATCTCCGCTTCCATCAATTGACCTCCATTGATATGGGTTGGGTTGACGTTGATTTTAAAGTCCAGTTCGTGACCCACTGAAAAGTGGTGGGCTTGGCCTGCAGAGACATTGCGGGGAAGTGGGGGGGGGACAGTTGGGGAAGCTTGCCTCGGGCAGGGGCCGACGGTTTGTGCAAGGCAAACAGAAGCATCGTCAATGTTGGATCATGTCTTTTATCCGACGGCATCTCAACTTTCCATCAATGGCCTCCCCCGGAGCTTTCCCATACCGCCAAGACCCCCCGCCGCCGTCTTTTCTCGATCCCTATCCTCGACCCAAGACGTACGAACAATGCCACCCTGCGGCGTTTGATCAGGGGCGCCTCCCCCAAAACCCGGATATGAAGAGGCACAAGAGATCTTCCGTGGTCGCGGGCCGGGAAAGCTTTTCGGCCATCCGGGAAAGTGGTACTTCAGCATGAATGGACCTGAGGATAAAGGTAGATCATGTCCATCCGCATCAACTGCCGCCTAGGACCCCCCGATGCCCAGCCAAGTTGAAGACTGCCCCTTTTGTCGCCATGAAGGCATTCGCATTCTCCCTCGTGGCTGCTGTAGCCGTAGCGCTAACAACAAGACATGCAGATAACCTCCCAGCAGGCGTTCCGCGTTCCATCTCGGAATTCCGGGCCAAGCACCCATACTCGCGCAGAGACACCAAGGGCAGGAGAAGCGTTGTTACCCTCCGACCTTCAGCCAACGACACGGATGATGTCGCCGACGAGTTCCTCGACGCCCTCCAAAGCGCCAATCGCGGCGGCACCCTCCACCTTGCCAGTGGCAACACCTTTATCATTGGCAAGCCCCTCGACCTGACATTTCTCGACGACGTCCATGTCCAACTCGATGGCGAGATCAAGTTCACCAATGACACGCCCTTTTGGCAAAAGAATGCCTTCCACCACCCCTTCCAGAACAGCATCATGTTCTGGAAGTGGGGTGGCAAGAACATTAAGATCTTTGGCAACGGAACGCTGAACGGCAACGGCCAACGGTGGTGGAACGAGTTCTCGGGGCTCGAGATCCTGGATGCGGACAACGACTACCTGCGGCCCATCCTGTTCTATGCCGAGAACGCGACCAACTTGGATATTCGGGGGATCCATTTCAAGGACTCGCCCTGCTGGACCACCTTTTTCGTCACCTGTGAGTACCAACAGGGAATACGTCTCCTCCACAATCACTGACACCCACCAGCCAGAGACATCTCCCTGACGGACGTCGTCTGCACCGCCGTATCCAACAACGCGACCTCCCGACCCAAGAACACCGACTTCTTCGACTCCCTCAACGTCGAGCACGTCCGAATCGAGCGCGCCTGGGTCGACATTGGCGACGACTGCTTCTCGCCCAAGTCCAACGCCACGGACGTCCATGTCAACACCATGTACTGCAACGGCACCCATGGGCAGTCGATGGGCTCCATTGGGCAGTACAAGGGCGAGAAGAGCTTCATCAAAGACGTCCACATTGAGAACGTGTGGATGCTCAACGGCCAGCACAGCGCCCGGCTCAAGACGTGGGCGGGCGAGGACGCCGGCTACGGCTTCGTGGACAACGTCACGTTCAAGAACTTTTGGAATGGCAACAACGAGTACGCGGCGTTTCTGGATTCGTGCTACTTCAATGTTAGTCATATCTACTGTGGTGTTGCGGTATTGGTTGATTGCTCACCAGACTGATTCCAGATCGAGACGGCGAGATGCGCCAAGTACCCATCGCGGGTCAACATCACCAACGTCGTCTTTGAGAACATGTCAGGCTCGACATCGGGAAAATTCGGCAATGCCGTCGCCCGTCTGACATGCAGCCCCAACGCCGTGTGCTCCAACATCCAGTTCAAGAACTTTACCGTCACCAGCCCCTGCGGCGGGCAGCCCGTCGTCATCTGCGACGGCATCCACGGCGACATTGGTGTTCCCTGCGTCAGCTCGACGAGCACCGAGGCAAAAGCAGCTTTGGCGAAGAAATGCTCGGGGGAAAAGGCATCACTTCCAGGCCGACCATGGCGGCGATAAAGAATCACGACTTGGACATCAAATGGAGGGGACGGCAAAAATTGGTGGTATTTTGAGCAAGCGTTCCGCGCCAAGCCACAATTCATCAACAAAATGTACAAGCCTACCCGCCATCTTTTGGCGGGGAATTCCTTTTGGTCTGTAATTCCAACAAACAACGCTCGCTTCTTATCCATCCTTTTCGACGGGACGGTAAACATCCTCCACCATATCACGCCTCTGGTTTCGCTTAGAGGGCAGCAACGGCACCAATGAAGCCAGCGACGGCCATGACACCAACGGCGAACCCAGTCTCCCTCGGGCTGCCAGCAGTCGAGGTGGCACCAGCGTTGGTGCCGGCGCCACCGGAGCCGGAGCCGGAGCCCGAACCAGAGCCGGAACCGGAACCAGAGCCGGAGCCAGTCTCCGAGTCACCTGTCGTCCCAGTGGGAGCCGGCAGGCCAGCACCGGTGCCGAGGACGGGGGCGCTGGTCGAGCAGAGCAGCGAGTTGGACGCCTCGGCGATTTGAGGGGCGAGGTCGGGGCACTTGGCGAGCGCGGAGCTGATCTTGGGCTCGTTGACCGAGGCCCACGAGAGCAGCTCGGACTGGTATGCGGAGAAGTCGGAGGCGATGGAGGACGGGACGGTGTAGGAGCAGGGGTCGGTGACGGTGGCGAGGTCACCGGTCAGGAGGGCGGCGGGCGGGGTGGGGATGGAAGCAGCGACGCCGAGGAGCTCGGCGGCGCAGGCGGCGACGTCGGAGGCGTCGGTCTGGCGGGGGAAGATGTCGCGGTTGACGTGGGCGGGGTGGGCGATGCGGTTGGCCGAGGCGTGGGCGAGGGTGGCCAGGGCCGTGAGGGTGATGGTGGGAAGGAGCATCTTGGCGGGTTGGTTTGGGGTGGTGGTGGTGGTGGTGATGATGATCTGTGGAGGATGATGTTGGATGGGCGAGGGATGTGAGGGAGAAGCGGAGGCGGGGAGAAAGGGGTCGTGGAGGCTTTTGTAATGTTGGAGTGGGCGAGGTATCTCACCAGCCCCGTACGCCCCGTCAGGTCACATTCCCGATCCCAAGAAGAGAAACAAGAGGGCGGCCTCTCACTGGTTCGCCGTGTCTCCAGGGTGGCTCGGGTGGGATTCCGCCCCCCGGTTGATCCAGGCAAAAGCGGACCGGCAAAAGCTCAGCCCTTTCCCCAAGACCCCAAAGTCGGTGCGATCCACGCTCGACAGACCAGTTGCTGCTCTCGCTTGTCGTGAAAAGGGGCGCCGTAACTGTGGAGCGGCTGACAAGGGGCGCGCCCACATTCGGAGAGACGGAGGGACGTGATTGGTGAGGGGCCAGGGCTGCCGTGTTCCTGGGCTAGCGCGGTCACGAAGGGTCCGGGGTGCTCGCGGGGCCCGGTCAGGGGAAATGAGGATTGTGGGTCATTTCCACCTGGTGCGTTTCCGTTTTCCAACGGCGACCGACGAGTGCGAGTGTGAGGGTTTTGGCGATGGGTTTCCGCCTTCGCGGTGATGGGCTGTTTTGGGGCGAGCATCCCGACGGGGAGAGGTGATTGATTGCTTCAGAGGTGATGGGTTTCACGTTCTGTCTGCCGGACTGTTGGGAGCTGTCAGGACTCGGAAGCATGTTGGAATGCTCGGGCTGAGAGAAGATGTCAGCCTGGATGGCTGGCCCGCCGCCCGCCTCCTCCCTCCTGCCACTCGTCTCTCCCCAGATTGATGAGGGACATGTCATCGCATCGCGCATCGCTTGCAGAGCGAGCGGTGACAGTCGTCGATCTGCCGGCCGGCAGTGCAACCGAAGGAGGAAATCCTTCGTCCTGCGATCCTCCTCTTCGGCGAGGGTGTCTATCATTGGAACGAGCAGCACCAGAAAAAGTTGAAACCCGGGTCAGCAGAACCGAGCGAGCGAGCCAGTCCCAACCACCACCAAATTCCACGCACGCATTGCCACTGACTGGCAGCTGCGGATGCTCCGAGAAATGCGAGCTGTTCTCACCTGCCCAGCCCAACCCAACCCCTCGGACATGATGGCATCGCATCGCATCACCAACGATGGAAACCAATTCGTCTGTCTTCGCACAGCAACCCTTTTTTTTGGGGGCCCGAAATGCCAAGCCAGAGCTGAAGGAACATTCGATGCACAACCAACGGCACAACGGCACGGTGGTGGCCGTGTGGCTTGGCGTCCGTGCGGCGGACCGCGCGTCGGCGGGCTCGCGGGGTCGCCGCCAAGCACTCCCGTCCGTGAGACCGGGGTAGAGGCCGTTCCCAAAATGGCATTGTCGACAATGCCGCCGTGGACCGGGCAACGGGTGACAGCTGCTGCGCGGTTGTTGACGTCTTGTGTTGCCCTCCGGGATGATGCCGTCGGCCTTTTTTTTTTTAAGTACGGAGTCCCCATTGTTTCAACCGGCAAGCAGTCAATTCGCCGGAGACGACAATGGTTTTTGTAGGGCTTGCCCGGAGCTTGGCCGGCCGGTCGGGACCGGGGGAGTGGGGTTGAAGATCCGGTGGAGTGTGGACGGCACTCGGCGCTTCGGAGTTCAAAGTTAACCACCGGATTGGGGATGTCTGGCAGTCGAACTCACATTGAGCATCCATTGATCTCCAATTGTTTTTCCACGGTGTTGATATCGTGTCCCTCGCCGGCGGCGTTAAGGTGGTGGGTTGGGTTCAGCTCGACCGACATAAGCAGAAACACTTCCTAAGTATTTCAACAACAAGACGAAAGTCCAAGGGGGAGTAGCTCAGCGGAAAGAGCGTAGCGAACTTGCATACTGTGTGTTTCATACCTAAAGATCTTACATCAGCGTGCGCTCCGGTTCCTAAGGTCATGGGTTCGAATCCCATCTCTCCTACGTCTATCTTTTTGTCCGCTGTCCAGCGGTGTTCCCCTGGGGTACATAAGCAGAGATGCTTTGTAAGTGTTCCAACAAAATGTCAAAGGGAGGGTAGCTCAGCGGACAGAGCGCAGCGAACTTGCATTTGGTGTCTTTTCCCTAAGAATAGCGAAACGAGCCCCTAAGATGCCGGTTCCTAAGGTCATGGGTTCGAATCCCATCTCTCCTACGTTTATCTTTTTGGCTGGCCAGCGGTGCTCCTCCGGGGTACATAGGCAAGGACATGTCCTCCCATTTCAACCAAATAGCTCTGGGGGAGTAGCTCAGCGGAAAGAGCGTAGCGAACTTGCATTCTGTGTTTGAAACCTAAAAACCTACGTCAGCGTGCTCGGTTCCTAAGGTCATGGGTTCGAATCCCATCTCTCCTACTATTATCTTTTTGCCTCTCAGCAACAGGGACACCTTCACATGTCAGGACACCCCGTCCCATCAGCATCAGTGCCATCGCTCTCCCCGTCCACGTCCACGTCCACATACTCCCCCCTCACCACCCCCACAAACCCCGCCGCCCCCACCAAGATCCCCCCCGCCACCAGGTACGGCAAGCCGACCCACGCCGGCCCCCACCCCATCCCGACGCGAAACAGCCCCGAAAACATCGGCAGCCCCACCACCGTCGACGCCGAGTCCGCCACCGCCACCGTCGAGTACAACAACGCGATATCCCTCCCGCCCACCAACGACGTCATCAGCCCGCGCACCACGTACGTGTACCCCGCGCCGAGACTAAACACAACCATGGCGGCCGCCAGGCCCGGCAGCGTCGACGCCGCGCCGATGGCCAGACACCCCGCGGCCGCGAGGAGCGCCGACAGCTGCGCGAGGCGCAGGTCCTTGGCGCGCGCGGACCAGCCGAGGCGGGAGACGAGGACGTGGGACAGCAGCGGGAGGATGGCGAGGAGCACGGCGGTCACGGTGACGAGGCTGATGGTTTCGAAGAGGGAGGCTTCGGCGAAGGTGAGGCGGTGCCGCTTGGAGATGTATTGCTGGGAGATGGCGGTGACGCTCTTGCCGAGGGTTTCGAGGGCGAGGGAGGCGAAGAGGAGGCCGACGAGGCGTTGGGACCAGAAGAGCCAGTGGATGGTGGAGAGGGTGTGGGTTGTTGCTGTGCGGGTTTTGAGGAGGAGGTGGGAGAGGGGGGTGGGGTGGGGTTTGGTGGGGGGGAAAGGGGGGGAGGGGACGGGGTCGACGGCGGTCTTGTCGAGGGTTTCGGGGAGGAAGAGGGTGAGGAGGGCGGCGGCGAGGGCGCTCACGAGGCTGAGCTTGAAGGTGAACCAGGTGCCGGATTGCATGGCGAGGTAGGTGAGAGGGTGGGCGGCGAGGGAACCGCCCATGAGGACGGTGCCGATGTAGAGGAAGAGGGTTGTTCTGGTGGGGTTAGCAGCGGCTCGAGATGTGGGCGGTCGACGTACCTCTGCGCATCCGTCGAGATGTCGGCTACCATGGTATACATCATGGAGGTGAACACGGCTGGTCCGCCGCCCAGGAAAGACGTGAGGTTGGCGGCCCATACAAACCGGACATCCAGCGCCCCGTCCATCAGACCTGCAGTACCGTCAGCAACGTCTCCCCGAAACATCACAAGAAGGAGAGATGACCACCCACAAACAAACATCAACCAAACAATCTGCATCACCACCCCCACCAGCACCATCCCAATGACCGGCACCCGCCCGTGGCGATCCGCAAACGCCCCAAACGGAACCGCCAGAAAAATACTCGGCAGGCAGTTGAACACCCCGTCCCAGCCGAGAATCGTCGCAATCTCCCCCGTGATGGCGTCGTCCTTGCACGGATCCTGCCCATCCCTCCTGGGGGGGTTCGACCCGTGCACGCGCCGGCAGATGATGTCCTCGATGCCCTGCATCATGGCCGTGTTGGCGAGCGTGGCGCACACGGCGAGGACGACGCACAGGGCGAAGAGCATGGTGATGATGAGGACGCGGCGCGCCGGGGCGATGGGGGCCGTGGCGGGCGGGAGGGCGTGTGATTCGGGGGCTTGGGCGTGGAGGACGTCATTTTCGTGGTGGTGGTGGTGACCGTTGGGGTCTCTGTGATGGCCCAGGAGGGGGGAGTCCTCGGATGGTGCGGCGGGGTGGGAGGACTGGGTCATATTGTGGCACCGGGACCTTGGGGTGTCCTGGTCCCCTTGTTGACTTGGAAGTGATAAGGGAGCGTTTGCATTTATCTCATGGTGTAGTAGGGGAGAACGAGATGATGGGGTTCTGCCCGATTGAGGAGGGTTGACGACCTGCCGAGTTCGCGGGTAAAGGATCAAGACGCGGACTGGATCATGCTGGCGCTGTGCCGGTAAGCGACATGTACAATCGTTGCTCGCTATTGGAACCTACCACTTGGCCATTGATGAATGTGAGATCGTGGCCTTGTGTAAAGTGAAGATAAGCAGCGGCGCTAAAACACGGAAGGGTCCTAGGGATACATTTGCTGCCGTCAGCGGTCTCTTCCATCTTGGCACGAGACATTGGAAGCTGACCAAGGCAACGTCGTCAGGTCTGAACCTCGCTGACCTTCCTGATCGAGTCTGACTTGCCGTCGCTTGACAGCCCTCTTGGAAGCCGGGGGAGGTGTGTAGTCCGTCTCTTGGCCAATTGGAGGTGATGACCGCTGGGTTGGTTTCAAGGTTCCATGTCAAGGTATTGGAATGTACTATGAAATTGAAAAAGAAAGAAAAAGAAAGGATGTAGCCAACTCCGAGTCTGTCAAAGCCCAAGTGGGTGCTGAAGGGGGAGGTGGAGGAACCAAGCAGGTCAATTCCACCCATCTCGCCACTCAGATTTTGGTTTGTCCTTACCCTTTCCTTTCTCTGCGTATAAGTCTCCCGTCTTGCCAGTTGGTCTTGTTTAGCTTTATGCCTGGCGGTTCATTGGGAGTGAGAAGGGAATGAAAATAACGGCCGACAGAAACTCAAACCAGTAGGCAAACGTCTCCTGCGCCGTCATTTGGAGGAACTTGACTGACCAAACCGCTGTCGGGAATTAAATTCAACAATTACAAGTACTCGTTATCCTACTATGTCGCTGGCCAACAACTACTAGTAGACACGCTGTGCCCAACGCCATACTCCAGTCCACTCGCATCCAGATGCCGACCTGTCTCCCAGTATGAAAGGATTTCGCCTTGGCTTCACACCACTGAACTGCCGCCAGCCGGGAGCTCCATGGTATCCATGGCCAGGTGGAAGATGGGCACGCTGTCAGTGTCTTCCAACTTCCCCTTTTCCTGTCTTGCCCGCGGGCCGTTGATGTAATCTTGGGCAGCCAACCAAGGGGGTGTTGTTTTGGAGCCTTTCCTGGCGAAAATCTCAATGAGGGTCTGCACGCCCCTGATCTTTCTGATTACCGAACTCTCCTCCACGTTGGCCGGACGGATCTTCTTGTTCAAGCTTGCCTTTTCCATGCACTTGATATCCTGTCGGTATGTCTTGGAGCCGGGTGGGGGTTCAAGCAGGAGGCTGATGCGGGCTGTTTGGTAGGTTTTTCGTGTGCAGAGGAGCGACAGGCGGAGGCCGCCGTCCGATCCGAATAGGAGCTCCCAGTTCTCCGGCGTATCCTGGCCTGTGAAGATCAGGCGGTACACAACCACCCTGGCCAGCACATGTCAGTTATTCTTCACCCTCTGTTCGTGGACGTCTGCGCTTACCTGACGCTCTCTTTTGACCGTGAAAATTCAAGGCCGAGTGACTTCATCAGCGCCAATGCATCTTGGCAAAGGGGTGCTATGAGAAGGTGGTGGTGGAAATCGCATGCCTCCTTACAAGCGTCCCGGTGGTGTTCCCAGTGTTTGTCCATGCAATCTTGGCTGTGGTAAAAGGCCAATCTGCAGTGGCATACTATGACGGGCTGGAACGAGCAACCTGGCCTGAGTCCGCATCCATGGCACTTGGAATTGTCGCCGAGGCTGATGACGGAAGAGTCGAAAGGGCGAGGTCGAAAGCTGGGGATCTCGACTGGCAACTTGGCCTGTCGGCCCTTGTTCAGAATCGCGTACTCCTCTTCCGAGCAGACGCCGACCAGTGGCAGCCCCAGTTTGCTGCATTCCCGGCTGATTTCTGCGGCCAGATTACGGTCCGCGAATGACCAAGACCTAGGGGCGTATGGGACTTTCAGGAGGTTGCACTCGTCCCTCTCAAGGAGGGCAGACATCATCATCCCAAGGATCTCCCGGGCGTATTGTGCGGGGTCCCCCTTCTGCTCCATGAATGGTCCAGCAATGCGAGGATTGTAGACGTGGTAGGTTGAGTGTCTCGCCACGAATATCTTCTGGTTGTTAATCGGATTCTCACGGCAGACGCCAAAGATCCAGGTGTTTGCAGAAATGGTATGGTCCGGTGGTGGGAGATTCATGACGAGACAAGACTTGTACCGTAGATCCATATCCAGATCCCGTGGGGCTCGACTCGTGGATTCTGGCGCGGGAGCGGGTGAAGGGTCGCCCGATGACAGTGCCAAGTCTTCTGGCGAGGGAGAGGATGAAGTGTCGCCCATTGGAAGTTCAGGCGGCGAGGAAGAGGGAAGGGTGTCTGTCTCTGAACTTGTTGGTTTGCTTTTGCATGGCGAGGGCGCGGAAGAAGCGTCTTCCTTTGAGGAAACCTTTGGCTCGCATGGCAAGGCAGGGGGAAAAATAGCGTCCTCTTGTGACGAATCTCGCTCGCATTCCGAGCAAGAGGAAGAAGAGTCGTCCTTTGGGACCTCGTCCTCTGGCTCGTGTGGCGTGGGAGGGGGAGGGGGTTGAGGGGGGGAAGAAGGAGGAGAAGCGTTGAGGGGATCAATACCACTCATCTGATGAAGGCTGCGGTTGATGTTGATGTTGATGTTGGTTGTTGAACGAGGATGGGGAATTCGATGTAGTTTTGGGGATGTACGGGCATTAAATACTCCAAGAGGGGAAGCAGGGCCGAGGGCCAAGGGCCGACGATGGCATGAGATGCCTTGGTTGGCCTCGGGCCTGAGCAAACAGTGTCAGAAGTGTGCGTCACTAAGCAGTGAGCAGCAGGAGCCACCACGCTCGTCTCATGACTGCAGTACCTTATGCTTGGAGTGTGCAGAGTGTGCAGACCCGAGGCAAGTCCTGGAAGTCACCAACACCAACATGGTCATGGAGAAAGACATCCCCTCTTCCAAGTTCCAAAAAGAAATACATTGAAAGAACTCGCCAGGAACCCCTTGAACAATTATGATTCTGGATTCTCGCCAGGTCCTGATTCCAGGTCCATGGCTTGAGGCTGTTCAGGTCATACTCGCAGCTTACCGAGGGCCGAATCCTGCATTGCATTGCGCATTCCAGAAAGAAGACCAGAGAAGAAGTGACGCCATGCTCGGATGTTCCTGTATCTAGAGGGAGGGAGAGT